AACGTCAGGAGCATAAATCTTATTTTGAAAATACGACGATTTTCCAATCAAGTAGGAGTAGCTTTTTATACCATTTTTTCTTAATCCAAATAGTAGACAGAAGTTCACCAAAATAAATGCTTCAGAAAGATGTTAGTCCGTGTAGGTCTACAAGATATCTTGCACCATATTCCAAACTAACATTGGATTGGCAGCTGTAGTGTAGCTGCTTTAGTACTAGTTCGTTCCATGCTCTTAGGGGTTTGGTGTGATGGATAAGAGGACTTAATCTTTGAGTGCGCTTTAATCCATTGTTTGGTTGCAAAGGCTGGGATAACTTATACTAGGATTAAAAATTAGTACTGGATAAGTTATCCCTCTCTGGGGGTGGAATAGTAATCCCAGGAACTTATCTTGGATAAAGTATGTAAAATAACAAAATGTCCTCCTTAAACTATCTTTTATACACCACTTTTACATTCATGTATATTAACATAATTTTTAACAACATTTATAATAGCATTCACAACCTTAATTATTCATTGTTTTTATGATAATATATTTTTCTATTAAAAAGTTGCATTTTATAAATATAATTTTTATTTATCAATATATTATAAGATGAATTTATTTGCCTAATTCTTATGTTTATTATATTTTGATTTCTCTTAAAATGTTCACTCCACTACTAAATTATATATTTTTAATTAAATAGTTTATTACTTACTTAAAAATTATATTTTATATATCAATTAAAAAGTAGAGAACTTTAAAATGTAGATAATTGAAATAATAAAATTTCTTTTACTTTAATAAACTTAAAATGGAAGTTTTATTTTAAGTTAAATAAGATGGAAGTTCTATTTTTAAACTAAATAAGATGAAAGTTCTAGTTTTAAGCTAAAATAATATGGAAATTTTATCTTTAAGCTAAATAAGATGGAAGTTTTATTTTGAAGTTAAATAAGATGAAAGTTTAATTTAAAAACACACAACACAATCATGGAAATGCACACACAAATATTTAAGCTAAATAAGATGGAAATTTTATTTTTAAGAACGAATAACTAAAGTTTGCAAAGAAAATGTAAAAAAAAATTAAATAAGGTGGAGGGTATATTTGTAAACAAACAACTTATTCTTAGAAATTATGCAATGAATATAAGTTTGAATATGACAAACCAAACAAGCAATAAAAATTACTCCCAGCTCCAACATAACTTATCCCAACATAACTTGTATTCAAACCAAACGACCCCTTAATGATATCTAAAAAGAGCAACACAAGCAAGATATTATGCAAAACAAGCACTACAGGACCCAAAAAAAGATGAATCTTCTGTCATCCCTATCCTAATATGTCAAGAAAAGGGATAGAGAAGGCACCTCTACATCTGAAGGCTCTGATTTCAAAAGACAATTAGATTCAGTGCTACAGCCATTTGAAACTTTATGCTGCAGTGTTTCAGCATTTGAGACAACAGACCTGTGTGTGAACACAACTTATCATCTAAATATATGCTAGAAATTGGTAGGACAAAACATCAGTCCTCATGGATGGTAAGAAAACTCAACATGAAAAAATAGGTACAAGAAAGTTATGGACAAACCGAACATAATGACTTTCAGTTGAAAATGTTTGCAGGAAGGCATCTTTTTCATCAACAAGACTCTCAGCAAAAATATTCTGCTAGAAACATCACAATTAAAACCTGTCTTGTTAAAGATAAACTAAAGAGAAAATCCATATAGTCATTACCTGAAGGGCATACTTTACGTTTGTGATCCCTCTGCCACCCTATCCAAAAACAATTCATAATTAAGTTAGAACAAACAAGTCGAGCAAATGACAAGATTTAAGAACCCTTTGGAGAAAAATGAATTTTGGCTATTATTCAAGCTGCAAAAATCCACTTATAATCAGATACATTCAGAAAATCTGAAATAACTCACAAAGAGATTCAACAATTAAAGATAGAATAAGTTTGAATGACAGGAGCAGAAGCAATAGAAGAGTGAAAGAACACATAATGATTAAATAAACACCAAAGTTTTATTCAGCATCAAGAGAATTCACTCATTTATACTTTAAAAAAATGAATGGTAGGAGCAAAAGCAACAAGAAAAAAAGAATACTTACATCTGATGAGCTTTCAAAAGAAATATCAGCATAGGCATGAAAGGATATCAAGCTAACCCATATAGTGATCTGCAAAATGTAAGACATGAAAAGATCAGATAAACTAAAAGAACATTCAATACAAGTAAAAGCATTATCAAACCCAAGTAGCATGACACATTCTTTCATTTTTCTCTTGTTCCCTATGGAGATGGACAGGGGCGCAGCATTATCTGAGTGCTTGTGCTGGGGTGACTCCAAGTTTATGACATTTATTCAAGATCACTACTGGGCTATCCAATATATATTTTTGGTAGACTAAATTGTACCCTTATTGAATCAGACCTTTGAAGAGAAACCGAACAGAATACTCTAGCAAGAAGCCAGGTGCAATGGGCTAACCCATAACTTCATAAGCACCAACTAGAAATGACAATGCAGCCTAGAACTTGAAGTTCCTGAATTCATCCGAACTCCAGAACATGTAGGAGGGCTCATGTTAGCAAGATGATAGCACTTTGAAAGCACTAAATGGAACTTCAATACTCACCCATCCCACACACATAGCCACCCTTGCAAGCAATCTCAGAATCTCACAAACCTTCACCCCACATCCTAAATTTATTTCCTCTCCTAACAAATATTACATTCCACACCTTCTCTCTTTTCAGACAAAGACTACAATCCTCCCTCTTAAACCATGTATGCTCCCCATTAACCTCATTGAACAATATTCTGAGCCATTAAAAGACGTATAAGAGAGAGAATATAGAAGGGTAGGTCAGGATATTCGTGGCACAGAAGTAGATACTAAATAGCAGGTTTTAGGTACTACCAAGTCAAATACCAACACCACTTGGCACATGTCCAACACAAATGCAGTCACATCATATGTTTTTCTGTTGAAAAACTTGGACACTCATGTCAAAGGAGCACTCAAGTCACTGTGCATGACAATTTTCTCCACTATTTTCTTGATCTGAGAATTCTTCTTTTAGGTGTATATAAAAGAAGTACTAAAGAGTAAATGAAACCAATTAGAACAACTCTGCTACAAATAGCACTTCTCAGAAGGAGGCCTACCTTCAGACCCTGATACCCAAATATTCTGCCATCGTCTTCAAAAAATTGATTCAAGTCAATTGGTTCAAGACAGAAACTGCTTGGGGAGTCAACATCCTCTGCGCTAGAAACTAAGAACAAGAAAAACATACGTGTTATGGGACCAGTACTGAAGAAAATCAGGTTCCCAAGGGCAAACAAAGACAAATCATTCCAAAAGAAACTACATTGTCAAACATCTCAACTTAAAACAATGTGTAGGTCCAAGTTAACCTAATGATGGCCAGAGAGAAACCATGCATTAGGACATACATCATTAATTAATTAAACAAGCCTGTACGAAAAAAGAAAAAAAAAAAAAGAGACATCCAGTTAATTAAAGAAGACACTCTATGTTCAGCTAGAAATCCATGCCTGCAAAACCAGTACCCCCTCTTTCTTCCACATGCTTATTGGTGGAGTAAGGCAGAATCAAAGCTTAAGTAAATGAGCAGCTAGACAAGGCATAGCACCGCTATCCGGTGTAATAACAGTGTAATTCCCAATATAATGTTAGGTTGCACAAGTGTAATTGCATGTGGTTAGATAGTTTTTTTATTTAAAATAAAAGTCAACAATTAAAATTAACAAACTTCTATTTAGTTGAAGAAGTAAATAAACTTTAATTTGACAAATATATGTGTATATAAAAACATACTAGTTTTTGAAAAGACATTTCACAACTGTAAATTGGTAAGTAATATCATAGAAAGTAATGGCATATTCCAATTCATGTAAAAGAAAAAAATGAAAATCATGATCTATTTCATTTTTTTAAATAGGAAAAGAACACCTCTGAGTTTGCAAGGTATTTTTCTATAACAAATATGTATACTAATGAATGGAGAAAAAAGTGTTTCAGGTTCCGACCAATTTTACCTTCTCTTACACTACAACAAAGAGGAGGCCTTAGTATAGGGACTCATAAAGTGAAACTAAAACGAGGGGATACTAACTTCAATACAGTTGAGTTTAGAGAAAAAAGCTAAATTCAAACCTATGTATATAGTAATGCAGTCGTTAGCTTCAATTCCAGCATCTGCAGAAGAAGAAAAACATAAGTGAATGATGAGAGGAACAGTGGGTAACTCCATTAAAAATGAATCACTGACCGGTCTTAGAGAATCCCACGCGACGGCGCTTTTTGGGATCGCTGATTGAATCGGAGGAGGAATGATGCTTCGTCCCCATTTGTGCTCGTTAGGGTTTTGCTCCGAGCGGGAAATGTTCTGAGGCGGGAAAGACGGGACCTGTGCATAAATATATAACATGTCCGCCCTTTACTTATCGCCTTAATTCCTCAAATTTACCTCACACACTTTTTATTCTATTATTTTATTATTATATATATATTATATATTATATTTTATTTATTTATTTATATAGAAAGGTGAAGAGGAGGACGACCAAGGTTATTTTGGTAATTTCATGCTCTATGTCGGTGCTTCTAGAATCATCGGTCATCAGTTTTTCTCAGTCCAAACGTAGGATTTCAACCCACTTTATGCACAAACATGATTGTAGAAGTTCTCTCTTTCTTTATTCTCCTTTGTACTCAAATCGGGTATATTCACTTCTAATTGTTGGTGCCTACCAGCTATTGCTGAAGCATTCAAGATGATGAAACCCAATCGTTGAAGATGGATGGCATACTTATGAGGTGTTTAACAGAAAATCCAAAAAGAAAGGCAGCCGGCAGATTTCATCATGATCAATCTTCTTTCTCCGTAAGCTTTAAATCTTCTTTCATTATATTTTATTTATTAATTTCGTTTTATTATCATTTTCATCCCTTTGATGAACTGAATTTCATTCTCTGAAAAAAAGTGTATTTATTTCTTCTGTTTCAATACTCTGTTTTTCTTTTGGTATATGTATGTGTTTGTTAATATAAGTTATTACTTCCTTTCGGTTGCTCTTTTGAAAAAACTTAAGAAGCTATTTTCTTTTGTTCCAAAAACTGAACAACATATTACTTTTGGATGGTTCAGTGAAGTTAAAAAACACCATAGGTAATTTCTATCTATCTGCTTAAGATTGGTGGGTAGAGTTAACAAATACTTGTGTGGATATGCATTGTCGAGGTTAGTGTTAGATGCTGGCTTGAACTCCACTTTTGGTGGAGTAATGTGTCTCATCCTATCTAGGATGGTGTCACGTAGACAAGATGCTTATGCCAAGGTAGCAATGGTGGTCGAAAAAACAATTGGCTCCTGTCATATGTTTAAATTAGTATGATGCCCATGATCTGATGAAATTTATATTGGGAGCAAAACAATCTTTGTTTCACTTTCTTTTCAGAAAATAATCACCAGTAGACGATATGTACCTTGTTTCCTCCTCGTGCTGCATCTTTTTCAGGGGAGAAGCAAGTTGTGAAAAATTCTTATAAGCATTTTAAAAGACTAAACTATTTTCATTTCGCTATTATGTACTCCAGCTATGCTTTGGCTATCTGGTATGGTGCAAGGTTCATCTTGGGAAAAGGATATACTGGTGGTCAAGTTTTCAATGTTTTCGACGTCAAGCTTCTCCATTCAGTAGCAAGCGATTTACTTCTTAAGGTACACCAATATAACTATGCATAAGTTTGAGAGTGATTACACTAGATGCACTTAGTATTCTTATAATAAACTAATAATAGTATAAGTGTACTAATTTGATGGGGCTTCTCAAAGCTTGTAGTTGTACTTAACATGTGCAATGAGGATGATTCTCAAAGCTTGTAGACAGGGGCGGACCCACGTGTTGTCCAGGGGGTTCACCCGAACCCCCTCGATAAAAAATTACACTGTATATATAAGGTGAATTTTCTGGATTTATGTGGATATATATATTTTGACTTGTGTGGATATGCATTGCCAAGGTGTTAGTGTTAGATGCTTAGATACTGGCTTGAACTCCACTTTTGGTGGAGTAATGTGTCTCATCCTATCTAGGATGGTGTCACGTAGACAAGATGCTTATGCCAAGGTAGCAATGGTGGTCGAAAAAACAATTGGCTCCTGTCATATGTTTAAATTAGTATGATGCCCATGATCTGATGAAATTTATATTGGGAGCAAAACAATCTTTGTTTCACTTTCTTTTCAGAAAATAATCACCAGTAGACGATATGTACCTTGTTTCCTCCTCGTGCTGCATCTTTTTCAGGGGAGAAGCAAGTTGTGAAAAATTCTTATAAGCATTTTAAAAGACTAAGCTATTTTCATTTTGCTATTATGTACTCCAGCTATGCTTTGGCTATCTGGTATGGTGCAAGGTTCATCTTGGGAAAAGGATATACTGGTGGTCAAGTTTTCAATGTTTTCGACGTCAAGCTTCTCCATTCAGTAGCAAGCGATTTACTTTTTAAGGTACACCAATTTAACTATGCATAAGTTTGAGAGTGATTACACTAGATGCACTTAGTATTCTTATAATAAACTAATAATAGTATAAGTGTACTAATTTGATGGGGCTTCTCAAAGCTTGTAGATGTACTTAACATGTGCAATGAGGATAATATACTTAAAAGGGGAAGAGCTAAACCAGGGTAATACTTATAATTTTTTCTATTTCTCCTTTTGGTTCGATTATTTCTTCCCTCTTAAGGACATGAAAATAGGCGGAGCTACAAAGTTAGTGAGAATTAAGGAGCATAAAATGAATTATTTTGGTTGTTCCACTCCCATTTTTTAATTCATCTTTTCAATGTTGTAGTTTATAGAATCCTCCATTTAGTAGTTTATTTCTTGAAATGTATTTAGCCTGAAACCATTACTCAAAATTTTATGATCAGTAAATTTTTGTAGGGAGAGTTTTCTGCAAAAATGTGTGATGCTGGTGGCGAATTGACAATGCACGGGAGGAATGTAAGTTCCAAATTCTACTTTTATGAATTACAATATTGATTTCTAAAACAACCCCGCGACTATTTCAAGTGCATGTGTTCTTTAATCTTTAACTTGCTTCCATTCAATTGTTATTAGAGTAAGTCCACAGAATATTTGTCTCTTCATTTCCATAAAGCAGTTGTCAGTTTTTCAGCCTTTTCTCTTTGGAAACTATTTCCCTTTTCTTTACAAATTTTCACAGACTACTTGGTTGGATGAATAAGAAAGTTCTCGATCTATGTATCACGTCGAAATTAAATGAACTTTCTGTATAGACAGCTTTTGCCGCAGGATGTAGAACTCCCAAATATTGGAAAAGTGTAAGAGCAATCAGGCAGTTAGGCTTGTTTTCGATTTGAAGCTGAAGTGCTAGAAAGAAATTTTGCAAGAATGGTTCTATGCCTATTCCTACTTCTGATGTAAGTTCTTAAAAGTTGAAACTGAAGAAAGTTAGAGAGTTGCGAAACCAATGGTTGGTAATACAGAAGATTTTAATTGGAGTATGTAGTAGTCTTATACTTCACGGTTCAGATTGTTGACTTATGTATTTGAACATTTGGCGAAGAGAGCTTGAAAGTGACATGCAAGAAGGAAGAAATAAAATTAAACTGGAAATAAACTTGTGTTGTCTCTTTCGGTTTGATAGCGGGATTTCATTTACTTTGTACCATAGTACTATGTTGGTGTTTTTTTAGATGAGAACACACAAAGGTATAATAGCACTTTCCCTAAATCAGCACCACTTTATTAAGGGACACCAATTAGTTTGCTCTATGCTATTTTTGTTTATCTCTATAAACATATATTGACTTCAAGGAAGTTTTATGTTGTGCTTGATTGGTGGGACATCACAATTGATAAATTCTTCTCAGTTGGGAAAAACTTGGTCCATATAGTTGTGTTTCTTATGCAATCAATGTTCTAAGTGAAACTTACAAGATGACTGATTTATTACTCCAAAATATTGTTTTAGTTTACTCTTTTAAAATCTTCATTCTTTTCAAGTGCATCTTCATTCTCCGGGTTGTGTGTACTGAAGGACCTGAGAGAATTAGAGAACTGATTGTTATGAGTGCTTCGTTTGATCATGGGGAGGATGGCAATCTGCATCTAGCCAGGGAAGCTGGCCACTCCCATCGCCAAATTATCCATGCTGCTGATATGAGAGGCAGAGAGATAGAAAAGGCCCTTATTAGAGGCAATTATTAAGTATCCTAGAACACATGTGTTTCAACGCCATTTTGCTATAGATTTGTTGACCACTCAAGTAAGTTTATTCATTTATAGCAAATGTTTGTGTTGGTTATTATGGAGAAACTTTTCTGTTCTAGCATCAATTTGGTCCGAAATGAAGGGTAGTTGCTTTAATCTAATTAAACTTGGAATTATTCTTTTGCTTATGTGTCATAGTTGATTCAAATGACATGCATTCAAACAATTGCTATGTTGGTAATGTCTTAAAGATATTCATGTATTATGATGTATGAATTTGTGTAGGTGCACTGATTATGATTCTGATGATGTATAAATGGCATTTAACAAAGTTACAACCTGACTATATGTGATCTGTATGTTGTGAATATTGTACAGAGATTTGCATATGCTATTGTTTGTGATACTTGACTTCATATACATACCTGAAAAATATTAGATCTCACCTGTAGAAGTGCTCCCAAAAGCTCTATTAATTGGCACTATTACTTATTATTATTGTGTCTTAAAAATAAATTCTCAACAAAATGGGGATTCACTGAGTTGTTAAACTTCTGCTTGTCTTACATTCGTATTTTTCTATTGGCTTATTTTTTTCTTTTTAAAGATTCATTGGCCTGTTCTGGTGAAAAATGTTGTCAATAACTTTAAACCTGAAAATTTGATTCCAACAGATATACTTAGCACATGGTAAGTAACAAAGAAACTTCATGATTCTAGGAAATTAGAGCTATTGGAGTTAGCAATTTCTTTATTGAAAAACTGAAGATCTTCTCGAAATAGCTCTTATTCCTCTTGTTATTAATCAAGTGGAGTGCCAGATCAAAGAGAAGGTAATTGTATGTGATGTGAGTTGATACATGAAAAATGCATTTTTTGAAGTTGTCAAGTCTGTCAGTGAGCCAAAGTTGTGCTATTGCTGTAGTTATAACTTATTATTCATTACAGCTGCCTATAACTATGGCTATAGGATTATTGATGTAGTTACTTTGTGAAGAAGGCTGACGCATCATCCAACTTTGTAGTGATAATTAAACAAGTTTAATTACTAGCTAGCTCTTTGTTTTTATGAAATTAACATAATTTTTTGTGTAGTTGTCCATATTAATTTCCAGGTTTTGTAAAAAATGAATCCTTTATTTTTTGATTTGCTATTTGGATTTTAATTGTTAAGTGAAAAATGCTATCATTTTTTATGCTATGCTTAGTTTGTGGGCATTAGTTCAAAGAAGCTTAGCAGTTGTCCCTATTCTATAACTTGAATGGTAAATTCTATATTTTATATTGTTAAACTTATATATTATCAGCTTACTAAGTAGGAGGAAGTTACTACATGTTCATCATGTGGGAAATGAAAAAGCTAGAAATACTCAAGAATGAACTAAGCAGGTCGTGGCTTTTGTTGGCTTCTGCAATAGGAATGAGATTAATATGTTAAAACAAAAAACTAAAGATTCCTTTGTAGAATGCAACTTCATTATTTGTTCTTTGCATAAATAATCTAGCCCAACATTTTTTGTTCCTTGCATCAGTAGTACTATCCATGCTCTTGAATAATTAAAAGCATAATAGTTGCTCCTCTTTTTGGCACACAAATACTGAATTCATAATATTGTGAAGTTGTTCTTAGGAATATTATTAGTTGGTGAACTAACAATTAATTTATGATCCATATTTTCAAGACGTCCATAAAGTTTCATCCCTTTAGAATATTGAAGGAAAAATATATCGTTGAGACATTTATTTGTTAGACTAATTTATGGTTAGTAAACATCTTTTATTGAACTTGAAACCCCGATGGTTCTCTATTTAATTAAGGTAGAACAAAAAATGAGAGGGTATATGCAGGTTTGGACAATGCGATGAGATGTGTTGTTAGAGTCCTGTTCTGAAGGATCAACAATGGAGTGTTTATATTGTTCGTGCCCCTGGCTCTACTTGCTATTGTGAGGTTTACCATCTCTCCATTTTATCACTTTGAATTTATTATATGTATCGTTCCACACTCTTTGAAAGTGTTAAATTTTTGTATTGATGTTGTGTTGCCATGACTCTATGTTTATTGATGCTCTTCTTATGGCCTTTTAGTTTATGTATTTGTTAGGAGTCTGAGATTTTTATTTCAAGGTTTGCAAATTGAGGATTTAGGAGTGCAAATGTATTCTTGCATTTCACAGCTGAGTTGAGCAATCATATGTTATGATTAAATATTTCTATTTCAGGTCCCCACACTACTTTTTTAATTATTACTGAAGTTTAGTAATTTGATTTCAGCCGTAGTTATGGTGTGAGTATGTTATCTAACATTTATGTTCTATATTTTGAGTTAGTTTTTTGTGTTAGTTATGTTGAAATCCATTTTATTAACATGGTATTAGAATTATACCAACACGTCCATGTTGTGTGATTTTCAATATTTGTCTCCCTGCTGTGTTGGTGTGTTAGGGTGACTCCATAGATTTTCAGAGTGAAATGTCGTCTACATATGATAAACGTATATTGTTTGAAATTGACGAAAAAGAAACTATAAATTACAATAATTAACAAAAAAAATTGTCGGCTCCAAAAAATGTATCAATTAAGAACATATATTATTTGAAATTGACGAAAAAGAAACTATAAATTACAATAATTAACAAAAAAAATTGTCGGCTCCAAAAAATGTATCAATTAAGAACATATATTATTTGAAATTGACGAAAAAGAAACTATAAATTACAATAATTAACAAAAAAAATTGTCGGCTCCAAAAAATGTATCAATTAAGAACATATATTATTTGAAATTGACGAAAAAGAAACTATAAATTACAATAATTAACAAAAAAAATTGTCGGCTCCAAAAAATGTATCAATTAAGAACATATATTATTTGAAATTGACGAAAAAGAAACTATAAATTACAATAATTAACAAAAAAAATTGTCGGCTCCAAAAAATGTATCAATTAAGAACATATATTATTTGAAATTGACGAAAAAGAAACTATAAATTACAATAATTAACAAAAAAAATTGTCGGCTCCAAAAAATGTATCAATTAAGAACATATATTATTTGAAATTGACGAAAAAGAAACTATAAATTACAATAATTAACAAAAAAAATTGTCGGCT